GTCATATCAAGCCTTTAGACCAAACTGTGCACTCATAGAATTATTAAGGTTAGAAAATACCTGTAAGACCATCTTGTCCAATCCTGCACCAGTACTGCTCACTGAACCACATCCCTAACATCTATGTGTTTTTTGAGTAGCTCCAGAGGAAGTGAGCCCACTGCCTCCCTGGGCACACAGATGTGGATTGGGAGCTCCCTCACATTGGCCAATCGACCTCAGCCAAAGGTGAAGGAGCATTTGCTGCCATCAGTCCTTTCCCTGACAGTCACCTCCAGCCATACCCCTCCTGCCTGCCCACAGCCTCCTGCACAGCAGGCCTACAGCTTTGCTGGAGAGTCCCACATTAATGTGCTACTGCACTATCAACCAACTGTTATAATGATCTGGCCTTGCGCATGCAAGGGGGCCCTGAGCTAATTAACGCAACAAAGCAGTAATTTACTCAGCACCAAGAATGTATGAAGTGTTTTCAAAATAGGAAGACAAAACCACTGTCCTCAAGTACTCAGTCTAAATGGAGAGGAGAGGGAGATGGGAAAACAAGCACAGAGGGGTTGGTTGAGAATGGTGACATGTTTGAGACTGCGACAGGAACCTTGTTGTAAACCTGTTGTCAAACTGCCACCCTGCCCTGCAGGAAGTCTGACTGTGCTTTTCCTCCTCTCCCTAGTCCCCAGGCAATGTAAAGGCTGTCCCTCACTTGTCTCTTGTGACTAGAGCCTTCAGCTTTTGGAGTGATTCTGACTGGACTAACTGGCAAATGCTTTTCTCAAGGCTATTCCTATGGAAGATTTGCTCTAGAACTCCATGTAAGGCCTCACATCCCATCTCCACATTGCTGAGCTCCCCTGAAATCCCAGAGCAGCAAACACTTTTTGTAAGCCCACAGAAAGTACTTCCCTCAGTCCAAGCCAAAGCCCAGCATAAGGAGTAAACACAAAGAGGAGCCATAGAAGTGACTGGGAGAAGAAATGCCCTCTCAAAGCAAGAGGCCGCCAAGCAGGCAGAGGTGTGTACTGAACTGCTGTGATGACACATTGCTTACAAGGCCTAAAAAAATCCACTGAAAAGAGCCTACCCCCCCGACCACGGCCTCCTGTTAGAACAGCATGGAGCTCCTGAGCCCTAGGCTGCAGTCACACACAGGAGAAACATGACTGCAATGCAATGGGGGTTACTACAGGAGCAGTGGTAGCTCATTCAGCCACAGGAGGAACACTTCCTTGGAGTGCAGCTCACCTAGCACACTGCCACCTGAGCCCAGGAGCTGGAAGGATAGCTGCTGCCCACCGAGTGGCTGTTGGCCACCAGAGCAAGGATGGGCTCAGCCATCGAATCTGCTGAAGAGAATCCCTGTACAATAATGAGAGATGACTAACTGTTAGGCCATTGGTGCAGATATTAATTACAAATACAGCTTTCTGCCATGCAGGCTGTGACAGGCATCCTCGTAATCCTATGAACAACGAGTTCAACTGCCTCCTTCCATCAAATTGATGAGATGAGAAGCAGGCAGTCCTCTGGGCTGGCGTGAATCACTGAAACAGCCACCTCAAGGGGGGGATGCAACTGTGTGGTGACAGCACCTAATCTGTTCAGGCAGGAATGAGGGTGGCTATACCCAGCCTAAAACAGAAGAGAGAAGAGAAACAAGGCAATGAGCACCAAAATTCCTCCCTGCTACTAGTTTCCTAAAATCACAGGGGAGGAATGAGATGCAGATGTCTCATTATTAGCCCAGCAATGGGCCCTGATTCACCGTGACCCTCTCAAGTGAGTCCAATGCCTAAGGCACCTTAGGGACTTACATCCATCATAAAAATATCCCTGCTACTGGCATTTCCACCCTCTTCACTGGAGTCAATGTGTCAGGGATTGAGGCTGTTAGGGACAGAGCAAGGCTCTGTGAAGAGCCGGTTGGACTTTGCACAGCTCCACATGCTGCAACATGTATCCTGTCCGTCCTCCACAGCAGAGGAAACAGAAGTGCTGTGAGAGGAGAGATGCCCTGGCTCTGCTTCCCCTCACTGCCCTCCTCCTCACGCCCAGGACAGAGTTAACCACATGCTGATCTCAGTGTGCCAAGACGTACAAAAGCTGCTGCCTTTTCCTGCTGGTCTGCTGGAACAGGCAACAGTTCTCCCCTCCCTGCTCTCCCTCGCTGCCTTTTGTAGCTGTCTGTGTACACAGGTACTCAATAGATGGTTGGGTTGTAAATCTAGTTCTAAGACAGCAAAAATTCAGCTTTCTAAAAAAACATCCATTGTCAGCGAGTCTGTGGTTTTGCAAGCAGCAGGGTTATTAAATGTTGCTGTCAGAACAGCTTTATTTGACTGCATCAGCTTTTGTAGATATAAGTGAAATGGAATTTAGTGCAGCTTGGAATTGCCACCAACACTGTGCAGCTCAGGTATACAGGCAATGGCCACTGCCTTCTGGGCCATTTGCATGCTCACCAGGCCAGCTGCACACCAACACGAAGAAAACAGACCCCAGTCTAAGGGTGAAAGTAAGCTTTAAGTGCCTTTACTCTATATTTAACTTGAGAAACAGACTTCTCCAATCTGAAGCTCTGTAAGGAGAGCTATGGAGCAGCAAGGACCAGCTTTTCCCTAAGGGTAAACACTACTGGAGTCCCAAGCTGAGTAATGACCAAATTGCCAGGTCCTGTCCCCATAGCACTGGGGCCAGGGGCAAGAGCAGGGCCTGGGGAAGCCCTGACAAAGCCACATCACTGCTTACTCGTGAGACTGACAGCCAGGTCCTCCCAAGCTGCAAAGGCCAAGAGGTGTTATGAGAGACCAAACTGCAAGAGGACTGCTGGCAGCAGCACAAACCACTGGGCTATACCAGGTGAGAGAATCAGGCTCTGTGTATGGAGGTGCCAAAACTCTTTTGGGTTTCTCAAGAAAGGCAGAGAAGATGAGTCTAAATGTGGTGAGGGCAAGAGAGAAGAAAAAGGACTAAGTAAACAGTAAGCAATGTGGACAGCCCTTCTCTGTAGTTCACACTTCACACAGGCAAGTAGAGGACAGCTTCCCAGCAGGGCAGGGCATATTCAGCAAAATTCCTATCTTTCTGTTTTTATGAGGTTAAGATTTCCAATGCTGCTTGAGGGAATATTCAGTTCCTCTTTAAATTAATATGAATCCAGCACTGAAACCCCTATGGTAACTTGGCAAATCTCTGCTTTAATATAGAGCCTCGATGTAATTAATATCAGATTGTAGAGCTCTGGGATGCACTGCAAAGAGGTCACAGGAGCATCTCTGGCATTTTTGTGAAGGCCTTTAGGCTGAATAATATGGAAATTGCATGGGACAAGCAGAGCAGCACCACGGCTTCAGTAGGACACCGCCTCCCTCAGGACAGCTCACAGAGGAGGGGTTCAGCCCATAGTCCCCATGTCCCTGAGGGCCCAGGCACTAATCCTGACTACTCTCAGCAGCCCATTGTCAGAAGCCTGACACCCTTCCTGTGGGAATCCACACCTCACCTAGGAAACCTCTCAAGGTAGGGAAAACAAAAAGTTGATGATTTTACAGAAAGAGAGCCTCAGTGCATCCTCCTGCTGCATCAGTCCTACAATTAACACAGGCTGTGAGCTCTCTGTCCAAAGCTTTCTGGAGGCACAGTGGACTTACACAGCCACATGGCCCTGTAAGCTGCACCTTCAGAAGCTGAACTACAGAACTCAGCTTCATGTTTCTTCCTTGTTGGCTCCAAGTCCCCCCGCCAGGGGGACTGGGACACCCCTGGGGCACGGCCTGTGCTACATGTATCAGTCTGAATGCCGAGTAAGGTGCTTTCATGTGCCTCGTGGAACTGCAGGTTACAATCACCATAGCCAAAGGTTGCCTTAAATGGACAGAAAATAGGACAGAGAGAGGCAGCAAAACAGTGAGAAGCGGATGAGGAGAGCCCAGGAAGTAGATATTTCTAGCTTCTACATAAACCTGACAGGGAATATTAGTCTTAAATAAATGTTGCCACCAAGCCAGTTGGCAATCTGCCTGGCCAATTTTCCTGTCACCTTGCCAGTAGCTGGAGAGACAGCTGAATATGCCAAGAGTACTTTTTAATGGCCAAGAATAGGGCTTGCCGCACATGCCCAGACACTTTGTACATACCCATGTGCACCAACTTATCTCAGGCTCGCTCTTCTTACGCAGCTCTTACAGCAGAACCACACAGACACCAGAATGCTTTCCCAATATAGCTCCCAATATACCTCAGTGGAGTCAAAAGAAAGAAAAAAAACTAATGCATGTATGCAGGATTCTGCCTGACCTGGGAGTTAGCATAAAATGCCCCTATCATCTACGCAGGCAGCTCTCAGCCCAAGTCTGGACGTATTTTTATCGTGGGTGTGAGAAGCCATACCCTGCTTCCTCTCAGCAGTCCAAATTGCTCCCATCCCGATTGCTTCCATCCTGGTAGCCTTCCAAAGCCTTTTTATAGCTTCCCTAAGAGACGCAAAAATTGTCTTACAAGTGGCCACAGAAAGCTCTCACAGCATCTCAGCACAAAGAACTATGCAAAAAGCCCCGAATATACCCAGACAAGAGAGACCAGTGAGAACTCAGCAATGCAGACAGAATTTGGAGGGTGGAAGCTGTCAGCAGTCACTGTGACCCAGCCTAGCTATCTGCCAAGCTAACTGGAGCAGACAAGCACTACTTTGTGTCTCTCCTTGCAGAGCTTCTTATTTATATCAGCCCAATCTTGCTAATCTTGTGTTAAACACTGTGAAAAGCAGGCACTTTTTGTTTTTAGCCAAGTGAATGGGGATACCAGTACTTACAGCTTAACTCTGACAGCTAACCTGGGAGGAAATGGGTTTTAACTGCTCAGAAACAGAGCACAGAGAGATTCTGCTAAGGCACTCCATGCTGGCTTCACTCTGCTGTTATGGAAGTCAAGCCAATAAGCCAACTTCAGGAGGAGGGCATTAAGGCAACCTTAGCATCTCTAAAAATCCAAGCCAGTTTTCCTACCTTTAGCTTTCTTCAACTTGCTCTGTCCTGAACACAATCCCATCTTCCCTGTGTGACAACCACTGTCACCAGGCTTTACTCCCCAAGCATCCACAGCTTGCTGATAAGAAGGGTTAAGAAGAAAACAGCAGTTTCGGCATTTGCATTTTTGGATTCTAGCCTGGAAATAAAGGAATATAGAAAAGCACTTGTAAAAATATAAAGACAATGTGCTCACATCATGCTTCCATTGACTTTGAACAGTGTTATGCCTGGAGTGAAATGGCTCTGTCGGGTTTAAGCTTGTCCTCAGAAATGCATTCTTGTTTCTCAGCAATGCCATGGGAACCACATGGGGATCTCCAAGGAAGAATTTGGCCAACTATATTTAACTATTTAAAATTTCAGGGTTATTAGCAGAATACGGGCCAGAGTCCCATAAAAACAAAACAATCAGAAAAACAATGATATTCCAGAATGACTGCGAAATAGCTAACTGCACCCTCTCCTCTCATCAAGGCACACCAATTTGCAAAGCGATCAGCATGGGTATTGATTGAGACAAGGAAGAGGCAATATTTACCTAAGCACCTGTGCTTATGGTGCTTAGGCCTACCAAACAGCCTGCCATCCTAGCAATCATATACAGTGGGAGAGAATTCTCTGTCATTTCAGCCTTTAAAAGAGCCATGAAGCAGTAGATAGCATCAGCAAAAGGATGCATTTTGGCAGCATGGGAATAAGCCATTTTGTGTTAGAGCCAGAGCCTTCTGTTTTGGGTCACATTGACTCAAATGAGCTGTTAAAAACAAACAAACAAAAAAATTCCCTCACATTCTCATGTGTTCTCTTCCCCCTTGTTGCTTTGCTCTCCCTTGAAAATCTCTGCATCTAGGACCACAGTGGGAATTTCTCTCCCAACCTTCTCGAAGAAGAATGCACAGAGCTTCATGAGAACCTCACACTCCTCTTCCCACACTGGTGTGATTTTTCTCCCACAGTCCCCAGCTTTTGAAGGCAATACGGGTGTTGTGAACAGCAGAGGAATGGTTTGTGCTTATTCTGGAGGATGCCCAGCCCTCCACTCACACTGTCTCTTCAGCCCTTCCTCACCAAACACCTGTACTCCCACATCCTAACCCTAACTCAAGTTATTCGGCAGCTAATTCCAGGCATTTAAGGGTAGCAGACATAAGGAATGCTGCTGCAACTATGAACAGAGATCTGCAACATCAGGAACCAGTTTAAAGGCCTGAACCATCTCTCAAAGCAAACAGTGTCGTGTCCAGAGCATGGTTTCCTGGGCTGTATTGAATAGCATTTTCCAGGAAAATGTAGCTATTGTGTGAGCTGTCAGCTCCAGTGCACTGCACCCCATTGCAAACATAGGGAGGTGTATCCAGCTTAAAATATGATTAACTCAGAGCAGGGCACACTTTGGCAACAGAGATCTGTTTGTAGAGAAATGCTCCTGTGCTGAATCTCCTCACTGCTGAGCAAGCAAATCTGAACCCCATTGAGTTTTTATCCCAAGGCAAGCGAGTCCTCAAAAGACGCTCCCTGCCCAATAAGGATCATTAGGACATTTTCCATGTCACAAAGTGACATTTGTAGGTCAGTAACAAAAAAAACACACACAGCCAATCCACTGCTCAGAAATGTGCCCCTGGAAAGGAAGCCCAGAAGAGAAGATACCAAAAACAGCTCTAAAAAGTTCTCCTGTCTTTTCCTTCTGTCAGCTTGTGGAGCTTGTGACTTCAGCTTGAGTGGCAAGCAAGCACCACTTCCTGCTCTTTTCATGCACAACCTCATTATCACCTTTAAAATTAAGTTCTACCTCATTTTAGGAATCATATATAGACCTATGGATGTGTTACAGGACATCCTTACACCCGCCTGCCTCATTTGCCCTCCACTATCACAGAGCTGGCCATGCACATCTCAGTATGTCCAAGCAGAGAGCCAGCTCACAGACAACGCAGCATTTTGAAGCCCCCAGGAAAGGTGTTAGGCTTCAGTCCCTACCTTTTAGGGCATGTCAGCCCTTCAGGGGAAAGGCTCAGTTCTTCTTGGATATCAGCCTTAGCTGCAATGAACAGTGCTGCCGCAGCATGTGGGCCAGCTGGGCCAAAAGTACTGGCACAGCTGGTGTACAGCAATATCAACACCTACCAATTTAGGCACTGCTTGGTGCAGGTATATCTGGAATCACAGTGCTGCTCTGGCAGCAGCTGAGCGCCCACAGATTTCAGGCACGATGTGTAGCAATAATAAAGTTCACATGATGATCAACTCAGTGCGTGAGGAGCTGCCAGCACCCTCAGCAGGCATGGCTGGGGCACACTTCTCCTTCCCAGCCCACTGCAATACACATTTGAAAAACTGCCTCCCAAGCTAATGCTTTGCCAGAGCTAAAGACTGTTTTGAATCATCTCAAAAACAGCACTTCAGCTGCTCATGAGTTACAGATGATGGAAATCATATTTTGGGTAGGGGGGAATAACAATGAAAGAATCCTCTAGCCAGAAAGCATGGCTGGTGCTTGAAACTTGGCACATGGGCTGTCAATGAATAGTCTGTGCTGTCCTAAATTGGAAGAAACTTGGCTTTGATTTAACAAAGTTAAAATCACATACTTAGCAGAAGCCTTCGTGCAGCCTTAACTTTGCATTAGCATATTCTTTTCCATTTAATTAAGTGTTGCAAATTGTTTTTCTGTTAATTATTTCAGTTACGGACATTATTATTTTCCCTTTCGGAAGGCAGAATATTTCAGGGAGGTTAATAATCCTTCAAACTCTCCTTTCTTAAACTCTTCATTGCTGCTGATCAGGTTCCACCTGCCTTTGTTAGGCTGCAGGCCTCCAGCTCGTTTATAATTGGAAACATCCTGTACCACATATCTCCAGAAACACTGATATGAGATCCCAGATGGTAGCACTCTCTTTCTTCCACACATATAATTTCACAAAAAGGCTCCCCGACAGCTATTGTTTAAAGGAGATTTGTGTATGCAGACATGGCAGGTGATCTGATCTGCTTTGTATTAGGGATGGATGAATCAGATGAAAAAGAAACAAAGAAGGCCATATGAGAACCAGGGAGGCTCCACAGCCAGCGCTGCCTCTGAGCTGTTACGGAACCGTTAAACAGCTCCATCCCAGCCTTCCTCATCTGAAATGGGCTGATTATTGACTGTGCCTATCTGGCAAATGCCCAGTGGGTATCAGTTAATATTTGGAAATGCCAAGATCCTCAGAGGGAAGGTACAATATAAATGCAAAGCAGTTGCACTGCTGCTCTATTAACTGCTGACAGCCTGCTCTGATCCCGTGTGAGCAGTCTGCCCATGTACCCGAACCAACCCCAGGCCACTTATCTTTGCAAAGGGTTAGGATGAATAACAGTCCTAACCAAAAAGCCATCCAGAGGGGAGTCCCCATGAATCTTCCAAGAAGTGTATCGCCCTCCTCCTTGCCATCAGCACACAGAAACAAGTTCCATTATGCAATAAAGGACTGTTCAGCAAAGCAGAGTGACTTGAAGGCAATATCCAGACTAAATATGCATGAAGTTCTTTCACTATAACTTATTCAAACATTTCACATCTGCAAAACTGGGCAGGGAATCTCAGACAGAGCATCTCCGCCTCTGTCCCACAGTACTCTTGTATATCTTCCTGCAAAACCTCAGTTTTGACCTTCTGGCTGGTTTCATTCCTGCAACCTGAGACCAGTCAAAACCTCTTCAAGAAATCAAAAACTAATGAGGAGAATATTTCTCAACCTGAAGCTCAGCAGTTGGTCATGAAACATCCCCTTACCTTCCTTCCTTCTGCAACACCATCCACACACCATCCAAAAAAGCAAGCAGTGCACAGGGCAATAAAGCAGTAGCTTCTCAAAAGGCCTAGATTGTCCCTGTGCCGAGAAAGACGCAGGAGTGGACTACAAGACCTAATCTGTTTTCAACTCAAAGCATCACACCTCATTCACCTCATGAGCCCAATCTCTGGGAGGTGCTGTTATTATTCCCATTCTAAAAAAATGAGTCTAAAAGATTAAGCAGTATCTTCGCAAATGCATTTTGGCCCCGTAAACATGGAAGGAGAGGAGACAGCAGCTGGACAACCGTGGTACACGGCTGTACCCAAGGCAGCGTTCCTAACTACTCTGAAATCCATTCCAAGTCCCTTAAGATGGCACTGCCTCTCCAGCTTCCCTCGCTCTCTCTTCAGCCAACTGTGTTTATCTTGCTGTTAAGAGTCATGCACATCCCAAAGTAAATTATAAGGCCAGGGCACTAGACAGGGTCAAAGGCTAGCATATGAATTTACTGTACTGCCTCCACTCTCCCAGGAGCCCCTCCTGAGTCCTAATAAAGATCTCTGAAACAAGATGCTAATGCTGGATTATCCAGGTAATCTCCCCGAGTTACTTTCCCGGTTTGCCTGGTTATAAATAATGAATTAGGCCTTTACTTATTATTTCTTCTGCCCTCTGGGGTCGCTGCGAGTCTTGGAAAGGAATACAAATTTAAGAATATTAGATCCACTTATTAATATCAATTTCTGCCAATCCTGCATGAGAGATGTTCCTCGCTCAGTGCATGCTATTGATAAAATGAAGCGGCTGGGATGTTAATGGCATGGATCTAATAGCTACGAACTGGTCCAGCCTTACTCACCATTCCCATAAATTGAATTTTAAAAAGGCAGATGGGTGCTTCATAAGTGGAAACAGAATCATGTGCCAGCTTTCATTTCTTTTCCATTCCTGAGCATGGGTGAAATTAAAGTCTCCCCACTGACTTTGTCCACATAAGCCTACCGCTACGATCAGTCCCAGTTTTAAGGGTCCCCGTTACATCCTACACTGGATATCTAAAGCAGCTCAGCCAAGGCATCTTAACCATTTCACTGCCACCATCCAAACAGCGTGCATTTGGCTAAACATGGACAGCAGCCACATGGGCTTGCAGAGCTCTTCAAGCTGAGAGAACCAGTATGCAAACCTGAACCAAATCTACACACATAATCCCTCCTCTTTCTCCCTCATGCCTTATTCCATCTGTTCTTTGGCATTAGAGCAATTAATTTCAGTAATAAGTATGCACACGCTTGCAGCACTGAGCTGGCTGGGAGTCTCCCCTGGAACCACTCTTGAGGGGCTGGAGCTGAGT